CTGATTTTCAGGGGCATAATTAGTTTGAGAGATCAAATAATACCACTTGGGATTTTTAAAAAGCCTATTCTCTCCTCACTAAATATATATAGATTTATAGGTATATTTTGTTGTGGTGGTCAATTCATTTAAGAACAAAATATTTTATAGTCTTTGATTTGAGAGATAAACATGTTCCTCGTCTTACCATCACACACACAGACTATGTCCTGGGCAGTAGATGCAAAGAAGCCAACAAAAATCCAAATCCATGTAAGAGGTTTAAGATAAACATAAAGTATATATTTAAGCTTATCTATAGTTTTTCCACATAGGATTTTTGATTGAAATGCACAGGGACAGTTGAAATATTAAACTTTGAAAATAGCATATTTGTGTGAGCCATTAATGTGTTTTTCCGCTCTGGCTGAGATAAGTCATCTCTTGAGAAAGATTGCATCCTTTATTACTTTCATACTGAAATTATTTATTTTTTTAAATGGTCTACATTGAAGGCAGGAGAGCAAATGGCCTAGATGGACTTATCTTGGAAGTAAATGTTAGAAGATAATAAATTTTCTGTGAATTTGTAGATCTTTAACCCTTCTGTTGAAACAATTGGTAGCACAGAGACAGCAACTTTCTGTCTCAGATGAAAGGTTTCCTAAGCCATCGTATGAATCTTTTCTTGGGTTTAGTAAATCTCAGCTTAACAGTAAAATTCCCTGCGCTGTTTAGGATTGAATATGGCTAGATCCTGTCTTTTCAGAGAGCCCTATCATCATCTGTTACTGGAACTGCCAATGTTTATTAATCCTTACATGTTACATGTGTAGCATGCGAATTTGCTTCTGCTCATTGTTTTTTATAATCAAACTTTTATCAGCATTTGTTAGAACCTTTTACCTGGAGCAGTCTTTTTAATGAACATTATTAACCAACTTCTTCACCATGCCTGCTGGATTACTGTGCTGCAGGTTGCAGAAGGGAGTGTAATCAGTTCTCCTGGTTGCAGATTTACAAAGTGGCTTTCTTTTTATTGGCTGTTGATACTTTAGGTGCCCTTTTATGAAGTTTTATGAGCAAAGATTTGATTCATGTCTGTCAATGTAAGAATGTTTTAATAATTGATGCTATGTTCAGATACTGAGGGCAGTTTTTTAAAGGAAGCAAATTGCCACCTACTAATAACATTTAAAAAATATATTTCCCATTCATTTTTCTTTATACATTTGAAGTTGTTAGTGAAAAGCAAACTAAAATTTCTACTTAAAAGTTTCTGCAAGCAGTTTAAAGTTATTGCTTGTCTCTCCTATTTGTAGCAAAAAATAAAGACCTACATATGAAGTATCTGTTTTATTAATAAATATACTGAAGCCTATTTAGTAGTTTGCATGGTTTTTTTAATTTTTTTTTTTGCCTCCTGATTTTATCTATCATGATTATAAGTTTGCATAGTTTTTTAGAAATTTGGGGGAGCTTTGGGGAATACAATTTTATATAGTAAAGACTCTGATTTGAGATGATTTCCTGGTTTATGTAGCTCTTCATGTTAATGACAGAAATATACCAAATTGACTTGTATATTTGTGTGAGCAGAAAAGGAACAGGAAAGTTTTTCCTGAAATAAGTAAAAATATTTTATACCAAGGATTTCCTTGGTATTTCCTATAGAAATAGTTTCTTAAGCCATAACCTGATATGACATTCTATGGTGGCCTGGGACTAAAGTCATGTCATTTTTTTTCCTCCCTTGCCCTCCTCTCTTGAACATGCTTTCTATTGCATAGATGCTAATTAGTAGATCCATGTATTACTTGAAGAAAAACCTCCTTGGCATTTCTGGGCATGGAGTGTAAAAATGGTGGTTTGGTGGTAAATTCCTAACTCTTTTTTCGTCTTTTGTCAGGGTGTGGGATGATGGGATTATTGATCCAGTGGACACCAGACTGATCCGGTCTCAGTATTAGTGCAGCCCTCAACGCACCAATACCGAAGACTGACTTCGGCATCATGAGGATGTAACTGGATTATAAAATGTTTTCTGCTGGACATGTACCAAATATTAACACATGTAGTAGCTTTAAATTTTAGACTTCTTGAACATGTGGCTTATTACAGTAAGATTTCTTTTTTTTTTTTTTTTTTTTTTGAGACAAGATCTCGCTTTGTTGTCCAGGCTAGAGTGAGTGCCGTGGCGTCAGCCTACTCACAGCAACCTCAAAACTCCTGGGCTCGAGTGATCCTTCTGCCTCAGCCTCCCGAGTAGCTGGGACTACAGGCATGGCCACCATGCCCGGCTAATTTTTTTATATATATATCAGTTGGCCAATTAATTCTTTCTATTTATAGTAGAGACGGGGTCTCGCTCTTGCTCAGGCTGGTTTTGAACTCCTGACCTTGAGCAAT